AATTTTCATTGCACACTCATTGATTTTGCTCTCAGTTTTGCTGTCATTTATTGCACATCTAGAATCTTTGCTTGCGGGTTGACATGTTTTGCTTGTGAGTTTGAAAGTTTTGAACCCATGTACACTGAGGTTAATTTTGTGTCTATTATTCAAACAAGCATGAAGTTTTTGACCAAAATTAGGTACAATGCAATTAAAAAATAAAAGATTTCAAATAATAAAAAAAAACATTAAAATAAAAAAATTACACTGCAAAATATTAACTATTGCCATTTAATGCAGTTACCACAAGATTAATTAATTGTGTGCTTATTAGTTCTGCCTTTGCTTTTGTTTCATATTTTGCGGATCTAAAATCTTTGCTTGCGAGTTGAAAACTGCACCTCAGTGGGCGGGATCTTCTGAAAAACCATGTTCTGTTGGCCAATCTTGAATGCGGTCACAGGTTGGCCACGCCCATTACATTTTCTCGCGATTGGACCGGAGTCACCGGCAGTGTTGCCAACTTAGTGACTTTGTCACCAAAATATTTTATTATTACTGACATAAGTTTTTTAATTAAACCTGTTTTCATTTGAAATCTTTTCTTTTTTAATTACTACGTGATTAATTTTTCTTTACAACTAAATATTTTTGATTGAATAAAAAAAAGAAACAAATCTATTTCCATAACTAAGCCGAAGGAAAACGAATGAATAAATAATGCAATAGTAAATGATGAACAATGATTAGTAAATACTTTACAAGACTATTCATCCTTGGTCGACATTACTAAATACATTAAAAAGTGGACCATTATTCTAAAGTGTTACCGGATTAACAATAATTAAAATTACATTTGATTGCCTGTTATTTGCATACTGACCTTTGGCCTCACACAGAAGCGTGCCGATGCTGTTCTGGTAGCAGACGCAAACTCTCCACTGGGACACCTGTGGGGACACGATCACATTCACTGCACATCCATCCTTTTTTCTTTTTTAAATATTTCCCAAACGATGTTTAACAGATGTAGGAATTTTTCACCGTTTTTCCTATAATATTTTTTCTTCTAAAGTCTGATTTGTTTTGTTTTGGCTAGATTAAAAGCATTTTAAGGGCAATATTATTAGCTCCTCCAAGCTATATTTGTTTTTTGATTGTGAACAGACCACTGATATACAATGACTTGCCTAATTATAACTTTAACCTAATTAACCTAGTTTAGCCTTTAAATGTCACTTTAAGCAGATTACTAGAGTCTTGAAGAATATCTAGTCTAATATTATGTGCTGTCATTATGCCACAGAGAAAAGAAATCTGTTAATAGAAATGAGTTATTAAAACTATTATGATTAGGATGTGTTGGAATAATCTTCTCTCCCTTAAACAGAAATTGCAGGAAAAATATACAGGGGGGTTAATAATTCTGACTTCAGCTGTATAAAATAACAATAACAATAATAATAATAATAATAATAATAATAATAATAATAATAATAATAATAATAATAATAATAATAATAATAATAATAATAATAATAATAATAATAGACAGCCCTTGACAGGCTTTTGCATCTGAACTCTTCATCTGTGAACAAGATAACACAGAGATGGACTTGCCTAACAGACACGCAACCTCAGGATCGGCGCCATTTTTGCTGGCGACCAGGTAAACCTCATGTGTATGCAGACGGGCAGGAGTGATGGCCAGGTGACGGCTGAGACGGTTCACAAACTGCACCAATGCAAAGTCCATCTCAAAGCTCCATTTTCTGCTGGCTTTTTGAGCATGTCGGGAATCAATGGATCTAGGCTTTTGCCTAGAAAAAGATGTATTAGACTGCCCCAAGTAACGAAAACTGTGTATCAAATGTCCTTTGTGCCGACTGCCATTAGAATTTCATTAGTAATTGAGTTTTTAATGTGGTTTATGTGATGATATTGAATGTATTTGTGTTGCCTGTTTTTCTGTGATATATGTGATGTGAGCGCTGATGTGGTGAAGCCAAAGATCATTTTAAAACCTGCAAACCTGTCAAAGTGCAGGTCATATCCACAAGCCAGGATCGCCCGCCAAACACTGCGGATGTCCTGCTTGGCTCTGTCTAGAGTAAACTTGTGGAAAACTTCCAGCGTCAAAAACTTCTCTTCTGGCACTGTTGAGAAACATCGAGATAAAAGCAGATCATTCACACATTTGATCGAGCGCCTGCTTGAAGTTTTCGTAGGATGTGCGCACACCGACCCTATTTTCAATCACTTACTTTTAGACTCTTACTAAGGAATATACAACTAAATACAAAATCATTTGCCTATCTGTGAAATCGTTTTTCAAAATCAACTCTTATACATAATTCTTTAATAATTCTATGGAGACGGTGGATAACATTTTCTTAGCTATTTCTCTAGATAGTAGTATTCAGCTTAAAGCAACATTTAAAGGCTTAACTAGGTTAATTAGGTCAATTAGACAAGTCATTGTATAACGAACTTAAAATTCTGTAGCCAATCAAACAGCTAGCTAGCCGGCAGCTCTCACATTGTCGCCCACTGAAGCTAAGCAGGGCTGTGCTTGGTCAATACCTGGATGGGAGACCACATAGAAAAGCTAAGTTGCTGCTGGAAGTAATGTTAGTTTCTAAATGAGGTCCCGACTCTCTGTGGTTGTTAAAAATCCCAGGGGATTTTAAAAAATGTTTGGGTTTCACCCTAACATCCTGGCCAAATTTGGCCTCCTAACCATCCCCATATTATAATTGGCTTAATCTTAATATTAATCTGTCTCCTCTCCACCAATCAGCTTTTGCGCAATATGGCTGCCGTAAAATGCTATATAAATGAAAGGAAGTAAAATATATATTTATTATAGGGGGGCTAATATTATTGACCTATTTCCCAGTTAAATTAAGACAAATAAGATTTTATCAAGAGTGTTTTAAGCTATTTCCTAATCACTCATATATTGCCTGATTACAGTGGTATACAGTAACATGCTTTTATGACGAACTACCATATACTGTCAAGTCATTTCCACTTAACATGTCGGAAATCAATGCATGTGCACCTGTGGGGGGTAGTAGTACCAAATTTTTTGGTAGTAGTTTGGTAATACATGCTTCAGTAAACCAAATTTAAGAATGTATTTAAATAACATCTAATTTATTAATAAAATGCATACGTTTTCAGTGTTTTGAGGGATATTTAGTGACTTTTAGAGGTTACTGTAGGTCAAACTATACAAATTATGTGTCCATTTTTTATTTTTTTTTTGTTTTGGGCTACATGCAGATATAGACACCTACAGTATTTTACAAGAAATGTGTTTTGTGAATACTTGAGATGGTATTGGTCCTCAAGAGCTGCTATTTTCAGACTGTTGAATGATATTTTCCTTGCATTGATTGGCACAATTATGCATTTACAAGGCTATGAACCGCTCAAATCTATATTTACATTATACTTTTTTTTTATTAATATTAAGGACATAGATCAGAGAAAGCATTTTCTTACTATTAACGTGCTGACCCACCTCTCATACATCTTGTTTTAAAGTCCTTCAGAGGGGATCAAGCAATATTGGAGGGGGTCAAACCCTCCCCAAACCCCCTGTAATTTGCACATTGGTTATTCACACACTGCTGCCACACAACTGTTTAAACCACTTATAAAAGTGATTTAGCATAATAGGTCCCCTTTAAGACAGTATCACTTCAGGCCAATAGGTGGCAACAAGTCAATATCTACATCATACAACATACTTCAAATCATTTCCACTGAAACATGCATGTTTAACCACATTTCTTAAACAAATCACATATTTTAAGCCAGCGTTTAAGGCAGTGGTTCCCAAACTTTTCAGGCCACGACCCCCAAAATGACAATGCCAGTGACTCGTGACCCCCAATATACTCTGAGGTGGTTATAAATACAGAAACCTTGCATGCAATGGCGCGCACACACACCAATGGACCCAAGTCTATTCTTCTTTTAATTTTTTTAATGTATGAGAGCTGTAAATGGGCCACAAAGTTTAACCGGGTGTTATGAAATCTGCTGCATCTGACGCTATTGCTGTCTTTAATACAATGTAATTACCCTAGGGGTTGCAATCCAATAGAAGTAGTAACACTAAGCTACTATAGTAACTATATATGATATAAACGACTATTTTTTTCTCTTCATTAGGTTATGGATAAAATATGGTAATACTTATGGTTTAATAAAAATAAATCGATTTTTGGAAATCAACAGGCGACCCCCCTTCATTGTCCCGCGACCCCTCGGGGGGTCCCAACCCCCACTTTGAGAAAGATTGGTTTTAGGGACAGTTCACACAGAAATGAACATTTACTCATCATTCACTCACACACAAGTGGTCTCAAACCTTGAATTTCTTTCTTCTGTTGAACACAAAAGAAGATATTTTGAAGAATGTTGTAAAAGAAAAACAGCCAAACTTTATTTTGATGGTCAGTTTGTTGAATTTAAGTTACATTGCATCTACAGTACATGCCAACTAATTTTCATTAGACTGTTGGGTTGGGGTTAGGGTAAGTTGACATGCACTTGCAAAGTTTCTTATAGTCAGTTAAATGTCTGTTGAAGGAGCAGAATCAGCAAATATTAAGCAGACAGTCTACTAATACTCAAAATAAAGATGATCTAACCATCAAAATAAAGTGGTACAGAAAAAACCCACAATAGTAGGAACGAAAAATACTATGGAAGTCAACAGCTGCTTTTTTCCCACGTTCTTTAGAATATCTTCCTGTACAGACATTATTAGAACCCACTGTACATTATAATTGAAATCCTGATTTGCAATTCTACATTTGATTGTTCTTTGATGCAGTCCTTCTTCTCAAATGGTCTATGAGTTATTGTCTAACACATCAATAGATGTGAAGAAAATCCTATTGTTTACTTCTGTGTCTGGAACAAAGTGCTATTATGCTTCTCTTGGATGAATATAAATTACAAGGCTGAGCTTTAATGCTGAATGAGACACACACAAGACAGTTTATTCAATTCACATTTATTGCAAGTGTTTGGCCTGCTGGGGAAATCAAGTTCTTTCTGGAGCAGTGATTGGTCACTCTGGGGATGATGAGTGGAGATCGTGAGGCAGGCCTTCTCGTCTGGAAGAGAACAGAGTCAAGAAAATCAGTGTCGATGTCTAAATGAAGCTGAATTTGAGTATTAATTAACATGACCTCTGACCCACAGAGAATTCTATATATACATATGTGTGTGTGACATACAGCATGTTCCAGAAGTGTTACTAAGCTCAGTCAGATGTCATGTCACTTAAATGAGATGAAATTACCTTTTAGAATGTGTCCACACTAGCTCCTGCTCCTGAAGTAGGCATAAGCAGCACAGACACCTATGCCGACTCCGACCCAGGCTGCTGGACTGCTCACCGCAGCTTTCACAGCACTTTTCACATTGTTGGAGATCCTTCTTCCCCATGAAGACTCGCTGTTCGCTCTCTCCTTTGTTTCATCAGCGGGCTCTCTCTCTGTTTCTCCACTGGTCTTTCTCTCCTCTGTATCTCCAGCGGCCTCTCTCTCTGTTTCTCCACTGGTCTTTCTCTCCTCTGTATCTCCAGCGGCCTCTCTCTCTGTTTCTCCACTGGTTTTTCTCTCCTCTGTATCTCCAGCGGCCTCTCTCTCTGTTTCTCCACTGGTCTTTCTCTCCTCTGTATCTCCAGCAGCCTTTCTCTCTGTTTCTTCACTGGTCTTTCTCTCCTCTGTTTCTCCAGCTGTCTCTCTCTCCTCTGTTTGTCTTGGAGAGCTGCTGTCATTATCTGAGAGGACCTCAATTGTCTTGTCTGGGCCCCACATGATGATCAGAGGTTTATTCAGTAAATCAGTGAAGTTCAGAGCTTTTTGTGCTCGCACTGCATCACGTCGATGATGGAAAGTCACAAAGGCATAAGCAGGAGAGATGATGTTGTTTCTGCACACTTGCACAGTCGAGATGGACCCCAATGCACCAAACTTTTCAATAAGCTGTTGTTCGGTGACCATTGGGTGCAGATTGCTCACGAGCAGTGTCTTCAGCTCAATAAAGCGGCTCGTGGGGACCACAGGATCTGGTTGCTGGTCCCGTCCTGAATGCTCAAAAGTCACATAAATGTGTCTGCAATTAGTGTCTTCATCAAAAGAAAAATCCAAAGAGTGGATTTGGCTGAACTGTTTCATTGACTCAATCAGTTCTTGTTCGTCCACATCTGGGTCCAAAGTCAGAACAACCGATGACCACTCGTGATGAGGGTTGTCTGAAGACTGATTATAGTGAGTATCCATAGCGAACGAGTCCTTCACAATCACAGATTTGTCAATTCGTATAGTAACTGTGTGATTTACCAAGTCACCGTCCTGAATGCTGGCAAACTGAGATGAGCTGTTCTAACATAGAACTACTATAGAACACATTCTATGACTGTCGTTGCTAAGCAACCATCAGCTGGGAGCGCGTGTGTGCGCACACAAACAGGATTCTAAATTGTTTATAAATGAATCTTAATCTGTTGACTATTAGATAAACTATTTATTACTATTGTTTTATCCTACAGATGATTGTTAATGTGCTGTTAATTATTATTTATTAGAAAAACCACCACTACTATGTCAATTGCTTTTATATGTCCTATTTAATGTAAACATCACAAATGCTTTGGAGATACATGTAACATTTGTCAAGCCAATAAAATAATCTGAAAACATTGACTTTCTCTGTGTGTGTGTTGGTATTTTTAAAGTTTTAACATATACATCTATTGAAAAATAACCAGTTTCTGTTGGTTTACAGAAGCTTTTAGCAGAAACCTTTGTCTCCTCAGCTGCTTCAGTTTATTTAATGAAGGATTGAGTGCGGAACAGTTTCTTATCTGAAGATATTCGGTCACAGAACTAAACCTACCTGCAAGAGTGATTTATATTTGACTGAATAGAGTTGATAAAATAATAATATTCACGGGTGTAAAATTCCTAAGTTCACCTCTCACACCATATCCCTTATTAAGCGTCTGTATATACTTAGAAATAAAGTATGTATGTATGTATGTATGTGTATACAGTTAATGTCAGAATTATTAATCCCCCTGTTTATTTCTTTCCCCAGTTTCTGTTTAACGGAGAGAAAATTATTTCAACACATTTCTAATCATAACAGATTTAATAACTCATTTCTGATAAAAGATTTATTTTTTCTTTGCCATGATGACAGTAAATAATATTTGACTAGATATTCTTCAAGACACTTCTATACAGCTAAAGTGACATTTAAAGGCTTAACTAGGTTAATTAGGTTAACTAGGCAAATTAGGGTAATTAGGCAAGTTATTGTATAACGATGGTTTGTACTGTAGACTATCAAATAAAATATTGCTTAAAGGGACTAATAATATTGATCTTAAAATGGTGATTTAAAAAAAGCTGCTTTTATTCTAGCTGAAATAAAACAAATAAGACTTTCTCCAGAAGAAAAAATATTATCAGACATACAGTGAAAAAGTCCTTGCTTTGTTAAACATCGTTTGGGAAATACTTATAAAAAAGGAAAAAAAAAAATGACTTCAACTGTATGTATGTATAAATAAATACATAAATATATGTATAAGATTGCAGCTTTAAATATTTAATCGGTCACACTTAGCAATAAGATTTAATTAGCCTCTTAAACCCAGTGCTATTTTGGGATTTCCACCTGGTTTTTGCCTACCCAAATTTAAAAGCTTCACACGCAGAGGTGTAAATGCACAAATTTGGTATCATTTTAAAGAAAACCCTTTGAATTTTCATAAAACACTATAGAAAGTGTTCAAAATAACTGTTATCTGTGTTACACTGGAGCGTTTTAAAGCCGTGATTCATCAGCGGATTGCTCATATGTCAGCTTATAGTAAAATCAGCTGATGGATGTGACTTTAAACACAGTGTTCCTGAATATGTGTGGTTACACTTAGTAAACAGCAGTGAGTTTGGTAAACTGATGACCTTCACGGTAAATTGCAGTCATTTCTGTTGAGCATGTGAACACAAACATACGTTCTGAAAACATAGTCCCGTGGACGTTTCTGGAGACTGCGAATTATGTAGCCGGAGGTACGTATGGTATGGCTGCATTAAATTTTTTTTTAAACAAACGCTAACTGTGGAGGGCTTTCCCACCGCAACCAGTTTGTCCAGTTAGCTCGTCGTGTACGTCAACGGACTTGAGACACCAGAGAGGAGTTAACCAGGATGACGATGATGACGAGATTCGAGTCCAGGGAAAAGCGGTTCCAGAAATCAGGTAAAACAAAAACAGAATCAAAAAAATAAAATGAATGAGTGAATATCAGGGTGAGAATGTGGTAAAATCCAAAAACATGGTAAAAATTATTTTTCTGGACGGCTTTTGAAAATCATTGGTTGGGTTTAGGGAAGTAAGTGAGTGGGCGGTTCAATCGATAAAATTGGTTGGATTTAGGGAAGGAAGAGGGTGGGTGAAGTGGATTTTATACTCTTTAAAGTGTGAAGTTAATATATATATTCAAAGTGTATGTATATAATCTGCTTGTAGACTTGCATACCATTAGAAGAATTACCATATCACAAGAACTGGATAAGTTATATAGTTACCAGGTTTGGGTCAGGGGTTAACCTAGGTGGAAATTGAGGTCAGGGGTTAACCTAGGTGGAATTTGTGTGATATATGTAGAGCTAAGACAAAAACAGATGACAGAGGTGGAATTTGGGGTCAAGGGTTAAACTAGGAGGGATCTTGTGTAATATATGGAGAACAAAGGAAAACAACAGATGTAAAAGGGTATTTAAGTAAGGCCAGAACAGGAGTGAGGCAGAATTTTTCAGACAGAGATGCTACTGGGGGTCTCCTGAAAGTTCTCCTTTGTTGTCGACAATAAAGTATATTCTTCTGATATTCATAACCTCCAGACTGAGTTTGATTTAATAAGAGAAAAACCAAGAAAACCACCACATTTGGCGTCCCTGGGTGGGCTGGAAAGGAGCAGGACTGGTGTTACTGTGCATGCTGGACTGGAGAGAAAACACAAATATGTGGCCACAATAAAAAACGGTAAGCGATTTTATGCTTATTAGTTTGTGTTTTTTCTACCAGGACCTGCTTGTACAGGTAAATACACTTGAACTGTTTCTCCAGCTTTAAAGAATTAAAAGTAAATGTAAAAAAGATATTAAAGAAAAAAGGGGTTTTGAATAACAGAAGAAAAAGAGTAATTTGCATGCAAATGATCTGTGTTTTCCTAAGAGGGCCTTGATGGATAGGATAAACATTAACTAGTAACTGTTACCCAGATTTGGGAAATTATTAATGATGTAAGATATGCATAGAGCATTTATAAGTTTTAAGAGAGAGTCCTTAATGTGTGGTAACAGTTAAGAGATTAAAGCAGATTAAAGTAGAGAGATGCGCGCTAAGACCTACGATACCGCTTTGTTTGAGGAGATAAACAAAGGGCTGCATGGGTAGGCGAAAGCCTGTGGTTACCGCTCTAAGGTTAGAGGGCTGCTCGGACAGGTCACTCAAGAGGAGTGTAGTGTAGAGTATTTATTTAATTGAAGTGTTTGTGTATTTGCTGCTTCAGATTGTGGCAAAATAGTCCACATTGGTGGGCAGAGAAGACTGCCTTCCTCCTCTTTGAATGGAATGAGGATGGGGGGATGCAGCTCCTGTTACACTGAGTGGAGGAGAGGAGTGAATGAGAAGAGGAAAAGTAATAAAATTAGAAGTGTGAATGCGTTTAAAAGTATGTTTTCAATAAGGAGTAGGTTAAAATAATGATTATAGTAGATTTTATAAAAGTAGGGCTGCATATGTGTGGTGTGATTTAAAGAGCAAGTAGAAAAGTGATTGATGCAGTTTAAGAGAAGAGATTATAATATAAAGGAGGAGTCTCCTAAATCTCCTAAATCAAAACTAATGGAACATGTGCATTTGAAAGACACAGAGTAAAAAGCAGAAGAATAAACATTTTTCTGAAATTATCTTTGTGTTTTAAGTTTGAATATGTTAAAAAAGAACAATAGGCAGAGTGAACTTAAATTATTTACATAGCAACAGGTGAAAGACAGTCTGCTCCAGGATGGGGGTAAGAGAGAGATTTATGGTGTCCATGTGGGAACAATAAATAGATTGTCTATTTACAGCACTAGGGAAACAGAGAAGAGGAGAGTTAATGAGAGGAGATCAAACTATAGATAAAATAATGACATAGACATTAACATAATTTGGATAGAATATAAGTTATTAATTAATAGATAAATTATAAAGTAGTATAGTAAGATAAATTAAATGTGGAAAAACTAATAATAGAGTTATATTATATAGAAAAGAGTTTGAAACTTTACTAATGAAAAAGAATAAATGAAGCCATAGTGATCAATATATATAGAGATAAAGGAAGTATAGAGTAAAAGAATGTATTAATAAACAAATAGATTTAATAAATAAGTATGAATGAATAAATTATAAGTTAGTTCTTTGATTGAGAATAAAATAGAAAAAGAAAACTTGAAAATGAATATTGATTAATTGAAGATTTAATTATAAAATGTGTAACAAAATAAGTTTTAAAATGTATAAGAAAACCTAAGAGCTAAAAACTTAAATTACAGAAAGGAAAAAGAATAAAATAGAAATAGGAAAAAATAAGTCCACTGTTTCATAGATAAAATTAGATGTTTAAAATATGCTTACAATTTAGGCACATTGAACAGATAAGATAAAAAGAAAAAAGCAGTAACAATTTAAAGAAATAATTGACTTTAGAGAATTTGATTGGATTTAAGGGGAAAAAATGTTTTGTCATCTTTCTCAAAGTCAGCTACAGTATGTCATTTGTTTGTAGTAAAGTACAGTGATTCAGATGAAAATAATAGAAGCTAGGTAAATGTTAAAGAATGCATTAGAGTGAGTTAAAAAATTAATTTTAAAGATTAAGCAGTAAGAAGCTAAATTGATAAGTAAACATTGCAATTCAAAAATGAAAAATGCTTTTAGTAAATAAATATGTGAGTTTAAGTAATAATATGAACCCTGAGGTATAGCAGTAATGATTTTGAACAGTTATACCAGATATTGGGC